AAAAGTGGAAACGACGGTCCACAGCCGCTTGTCTGGTGGGCAACCAAACGTGACGTATAGAGCGCATCGCTCACTTTTCTTCGTGGGTACTTGCCAATTCCAAAAGTATCCGGAAATCTACGCGGAAAACCCCCCTAGGAACCGCATCGAAATCTGAGAGTATTGACAGAATGAGTTCCGAATACCTTGGGAATCGGTGGGCTCTTGCATGCCATGTAGAGGCGATTTCTGGGGCCTCGAAGACCTGTGTTAATGCTATTGGAGTCTTTCTATCATTCAGCTCTTTATTCATTTATTTTGTGATTTCGGTAATTTCCTAAAGCCAGCTTCTTGGTTTTCGATGGCTATGTTGCAAGCATCATAGAAGAATCACCTTAACTTACGCCCCCTAACAGAGGAAAAACAAGAAGTAGGGAGCATCATATTACGAGGAGCAATCATGGGTTGTTGAAGAATATGTTCGCTAGGGGGGTTGAGATACTGTCCACAGGTCTCCCGGGGGGGGTAGACCTTTGACTAGTAGATTTTGCACTCACAAGTCATCACTCGGGTGTCCCCATGTTGGAGTGCAGCGGACCATACAGCACCATTCTTATGTCACGAATTGTAAGAGTATTTAGAAAATCGCCCAGGCTTTGGGAGTCTATTAAACCCTCGTTAGGGGCCTGCATACTTCTCTGTATAGCTAGGATACTTCAGAGCAATAATTCACTCATCGTAACTGCCATTGCCTCCATCGCCCATCATGAATATAACTGACAAAGGCTAGAGAGAGAGAGGTAGAGGGGAAAAGTCATAATTAGATACTAAATCCAGATAGCAATTAATCTGGTAATTCGCCATCATCTCGTCTATTTAAGCTACAATCGCAGCAGCAATAACAACCATTGAAATCAACTCTACTGTTCCCACCTTTCCTCTCACTGCATGGTTAACGCCTCTATCACCGTCTGCTCCTTGGGTAGTAGTCGGTTTCGCCTTGGAACCCCTGGTGCCATCCGGGGGCGTGCCGTCCTCGAATAACTTCTTAACAGCATCATTCCCCCATCCAATACTGGGTTTTCTGACTGTCGCGCCACCATTTTCACTTCGCCACTCACCCCAGTCAGTCAATCATACAAACTAGTTCGCCGGCAAGAACAAGACGGAGGGGAGAAAAGATGGGGTGGGGTGGGCGTAGGGGAGTAAAAAAATGAAGGCAAAGGTAATACATACTTCCCCCCAATGACTGTCGTGATCACTTTACTAAGTTTAAAATTAGTGCTCCCGTCGTTCGGATCCCAGGAATCCTGCCAGCTCATGGTGTTCGTATCGAACACATTAATCACAGCGTACTTGTCGCACACACCGTTTTTCCTGGATGACCTGGTGGGTATTGCTTGGTCTTGACCGCGGCCACCGATTACAAGCATTTTGTGCCTGGTAGTCATGTGGCAGTCGTGTCGCATACGGCTTTGCGTGCTACGGCCTGGGTCGGCTTCGATCCATTCGAATGAGGGGAGAGAGAGGACGTATGTATCGCTATAGCTGAGGCTGCCGCCGTCTGTACCGCCATGGACGAAAATGTTGTGGGAGGAGTTGTCGCTAAGGGGATGTTAGCAATTTTAAGGGCATGGGAAGGTGGGGGGCTGGAGAATGGAGGGGAGATAACGGAGCAGAGGCAACAGAGGCGCAGGCGAAAGCTCTGTTATTGGGAATTGATCCTTGGGCGATCTGGGTGTGCCACTTCTTGGCATGAATGTCATAGAGGTGGATTATTTTTATATCTTTCTGCGAAAGGTAAGCACCGGTATGAGCCCTAGGTGATCAAAGCACAAACCAGCTTATTACCACTCGTTCCAATAATGGCCTTCTCTGACTCGAATCCCCCAATAAGCACCAACACCCCCTTCTTCCCAATTGGAACATACTCAACAACACCTCCCCATTGCGCCGGTAGTGTTGAAATGGTCACATTCTTGACTTCGTGCTTGCGGGTATTGTATATCAGCATACTCTTCAGTGCGAAACTTCTTCCGTCGGTGATGTTCCATCTTTTAACCCTCGAGTCTGTCCAGTTGTTGACAAAACCGCCGATAGAAAAGGCAAGTCCTTGGGCTGGTACGTTTACCGAAGCCATAGCATCTGCACGGAGGAGGCCCTTAGGACCTTTTGGTGCAATAGTGGCCCAGTCCCCGGAGTCGTTATCTAGCGCCCACCACTCATTCTTGCCAACGCTGCGGCTGCGGTTGAAGACGCGGTTGTCACTATAACGGCCACCGTACCTGGGGTTTTGTTAGCAGCATTTCTTAGGGGCCGCAGAGTAAGGTTGGTTTTCACTTGACTATTTTGCTTTTCGGTTTGCCACTAAAGTAGAGTGCGCCCCCTAGAATGGGTGGGACTTTGAATATTTCGTTTGGGTTCTCGTGCCCCGTTAGCCGAGATAAAGCGGGCTCATTACCTCCCGTAGATAGCTGTTCGAGATTCCCCTCTGGTTTGGATAAATGGTAGTAGAATGGCTGGACTATGCGCTTCATCAGTTATACTCTTCTAAGGGTAAGAAAAATGATAAGCTAGATGCGAACTTAGGTAAGCCCTCTGAATGAGGCGATCGTAATCCGCTACCATACTCATGTACGAATAATCGATGTACAGCAGATCGTCGTTTACAAGTAGCGCTTCACTTAGTTAGCATTACAAAAGGATTGAAGATAGATACTCACATTTTTGGTCAAAAAACCTGCAAATCTTTCCTTCCAAGAGCTGCCTCTTAGCAAGACCCCCATCCATTAGGCGCACAGCTGGAACATGTGTCTTTGCAATAGCCCCGAAGGCAAGTAAAGGTGGTAATGCTGTGGACAATCTCATCTTTGAACTATCACTGCTACCGCAGCCACCACTACCAGGCAAAACAACGGGGAAAAGAGAGGGAGGAGGCGAAGAAGCTAAGGTGGCAGACGGAAGGGGCTGAGAAAGCAAACGCGGGGTGGTGGTAAGGAAGGGCTAAATTTAAACTGTATTACATGCAAGGTGCAAGAGCGTTGCAGTATTGAAATAAAGTTAAAAAAATTGTAATAGGATAAGATAAAGCAACGAGATCCTACCTGCGCTGGTGCTATGTTGTGCCGATGCTTGAGCGTAGTCACGTTAGTCTATATACTCTACCCATCCATGTGGAGATGGCAGTTGCAGAGGTTCCGAGCCGGGAGCTCCATTTTACCAAATTTGCACAAAATATCTTGGTATGAAGGCCACTTGCAACCTGAACTCCCAATCACTAGAGGGTTACTGTTCGAAATGTGAATGGTAATAAAAACCCCTGAAATCGAACTATAATAGTATATTTCCCGGATTCCTAGTCAGGTGTCGTTTTCCGTGCAGGTGCCAGTGCCCCTGGCGCCGCCTAGGCTGGTAGAGTCTAAGTATGGCGTGTGCTCACCGGAGGAAATATCCGGTAACCTGTGTTGGTACAGGATCGCCTGAGGGGATTGCGTACGATTACTACTGTGGAATATAGTGGGTCAATGTGGAAGGGAGTGCTGCGTGCGATATCATATTGATCATAGACAGTCAAGGGAATCGAACAACTAAGGTTGGTTCCGGAACAAAACTTCCACTCACATAACCATGTCGCATTTAAAAGCAAACAGGACTATGAATAAGCAAATGAGCCGCGGTGAGTCCACTCAATTCTGCTGCACCACATACATACCCTCTTCAGAATTCATAATACGGCATAGATATACTACCACTACTCGGCTGGCGGATCTAGGCATCAATCCAGCAGAGAGAGCCTCGATACCATATCACGGGGCCTTCTGCGGTTCTTTCACTAATGCAGTACCCCGCTCGGATGCTCTAGTACCAATGATCAACTCGAGTTCCTCCCTGCCGGTGTTCTCACATTTCAAGAACCCACGACCGCACAACCACGGCGTCTCCCGCAATCGGGCCTTGGCTTGCTTTGCCCAGACGCTACACCGGTCTCTCTCAAAAGCACAAAATATTTAGCCCAGTCTTGGCGGCGCTTGCCAAGAGCGTTTCTACCAGTAATTCTCCACCTCTACGGAGGGATTTACAAGTCACACCCCCTGCACTATGTAGCACAACAGCTATATAGCTGAACGGCGTTTTGTAAGCTATTCATAGAAACAAAAAAGTCGCGAATCCAAACAAACCTACGCCGCAACCACTGAGAGAAAGGTATTCTCCTCAACTAGAACCTTCTTTGGCGGCGGCTCATTTCGAGTAACGGCGGCACTCGTTGGTGGAAAAAGGAAAAAAAGGGGGGCTTCCTGCGGGCAGGGTTGGCTCCCGTTATCATACTGTGCTAGATTTAATCAACTGTTTGTTCAGGGAGCACCTAGGAATCGGGCGTGGGGCCACCAAAACTACAATATAACTGATGTCTCGGGCCCATTCGGATCGAAAGCTGGCAGGTAGGACGATCTTGGGGCAAAAAGTCATGAGTACTCTGGCATTTTTCACCAAAAATGCACAGGGTTAAGGACTTACAACCTGTTGGATCGCGTATCAGGCATAGGGTTTAGAGATATGCAGTTATAGAGTATTTGATTTGAACTGCACGGTGGGTGGGCATAGAGTAGTGGTTCGTTGCTTTTACATCTTATGCTGGAAGGAGTAAGAGATGGGTTTTTAGTTTTGTCAATACCCATTGCCATAGGGAGTGCAGTACCGGGTGTTTGTCTTGGTTTTGTTTCTCTCACATCCTATGCCATTAGGCACACGGTAGGTGGCTGAGGAATTATGGAGGATAACGAGATATCCGCATAGTTCCGGGCTATTGGTGGATCGTTGAGAATCGTGATTTGTCAGGATTATGTGCTTTATTGGAGTTCGTGGAGCCGCTCTAGTTCCCAGAGTCGCCAGCCACTTGGGGATATATAACCCCCGGTTTGTCCTTAGCTAGCATCTCCATCGATCGTCTATCGTATTAACCTGAATAAGAGCAACATGTCTCAGGACGTCTGACTTTCCTATTTTGTCGGGGACGAGAAAATGAAACCACGCGTTACCGAGAGGGGAAACCTAGACGTCCGACGAAGTGTCTCACTTAGTTAGGTTAATACGGCAGTCCATGCTACGCTCAGTTGTCTTTTGTCCATTTCTCCCCACCACTTCATCATTTAACCCTTCGATAGGCGTCATCACAATCACCCAAAAAAACACAAAATTAATCAAAGTATGGTAGCACCCTGGACTCCACCATTTCTACACTTTCCCAGTAAAAATTATACGATTACTGCCACCCTGGCGCGAGGGTTGATAGGTAAAGCTTTGTTCCCAGAAAGGTTGCCGCGTAACCTACTGTACCGTTATCCAAAAAAAAAAAAAACCCTCTAGGGATCTGTTGCCCACCCCCGCTCTTGATATTTTTTCCCCCAAAAATTTACCGATAGAACTTGACTTTCTTATCAGAACAAATTCCATATACTTCTTTTGATCGGAGTGATCGATTTTTGGTGTCAAATGCACACTACTCAAGACGGAGGAAGGCGGGAAAGAGGGAGGGAAAGGGTCTGCCTATTCGTCTTCCCCTGTGAACATGATTACCGGTCTATTTTTTTCCCATAGCAGAATACTATGACCTTCCCCCATTACCGGCGTAGCGGTGAGTTTGCCGTACGTGCTTTAGATATCCCGAGAAAATGGTTTTGTCAAAATCCACCTCCATCCTCTCTTCTGCAATCCTAATAATAGCAAACACTACTACTGAGCGGCATGACCTCCCTAGAAGGAATAATGGTAGGGACTTTGGCGAGACAGCCGGCATGCCTTACCAGTTTGCTCGTACGACAACAGCTTTGACTGCCCGGTAGCATTTTGAGGATACCCAAGGAGCCATCATCGGCACAAATTTACACTGCTAACAAGGTCTAGAAACAACATGGTAATAGGACAAGTCTACTTAGACTAGCGACTTTGTTCTCTCTTGGGGGCCAAGGGTACCGAACGTTACTAAGGAATCACTCCTCACGGTGACAGAAAGTAGACTGGGGGAGTCTCCACTCCAGTACAATACCACCCTCACTGGCCCCTGCCGACCCCATCCAAACCAAAGCCGGCGCCTTCGACACTGCCCTCACAACTTTTTCCCCGCAGACAGAAACCACGGTACCAAACCTCCCCTGCCCCCACCCCGAGATTCACATAAAGCAACTTCAGCACTCGGGATCCCAGATATTGATCCCAGAGTAGGAGATTTTATTGTTCGGGATCTGCAACCGACGTACCACAACCGGAAAAAGTGGGATATCAAGGGTGACAAGTGGTAGATCTAGTCCAACCCCAACCGGGATTAAGGCTCTCTCCGGCGGAGAGGAAGGAAATTTTGGGAATGGTTGGGGGGAGAGATGTTGACACTAAAGAGCCGGTCTGTAGAGTTGCACCCCCCTGGGCGCTGGCGGGATGTCTGTTGCTGACGTGGGTTTATTCCCTCTACGAGTAATAGGCGGATTTCAGCGAGATACACATCTTTGGCGTTTATAGAAAGAGGTGACACAGACAGACTGCAAGCGGGTGTATTCCTCCTCCAAGAGCAGACATATGTTCTCCCATAGCAGGTTCTCCCCAGATGGCTCAAGTGGCCATGTAACGCCTCGTGCCCCCTGGTATTTCCGCAAATTCTCAATATGAAGATTCATCTACAAGGCGGATATCCCTCGCGATTCTCTACATCGACAAAGGCACCTTTCTAGACTGCTACTAGATCTTCACTCTCCCCATCCGGACCGGATAAAGGTACCCTCCACACAAGTCCGTGGACGCCGCCACTGGAGCACGGCCGGAAAACGCAAGATGCTAACGGTAGATGGAAGGATCGCTAACGACATTCCTCCCTGCAAGATGCCTCATGTCCCAGATATGTCTCTGCCAGAGACGGTTAAGGAGTCCTGCGGAGTTGAGGATAGATATGGGGTTCCGCGGATTCACGGGGGTTATTGGTGGGACGTGTGTTACGCCTTCTGGATGACTTGTGGGATGTGTTTATGGATGCTGGTGAAGAGAAGTACTCAAGGTGGAACGACGAAAATGTCTCCGGAAGGCGGCGTCTCCGGCAGCCTTGAGTCGACACTTTTTCAAAAGCACACCCCCCCACACGAATTTCACGAGCTCTGGTCGCAGGTGCCAGCAGCAGCTCGGGGGTTGTGGCTGACTACGAAACCAATCTCTAGATCACCATGGTTAACGACTGCGGGTATAATAGTATCCCGTAGTCGTCGAATGTAGAGTTGGCGGGGGTGATGCCTTACGCTGAGATATCCCAGGCGCAGGATCAAGCCCGGGCACTCAATTGTAAGAAAGGGTAGGGGTTGCATCAAGGCCAGTATTCCCTCGGGGGTTTTTCCAAGTGTCACAATATTAATATTCTATGGGTTGCTCTTTGGAGAGGTTGTTCAGTATACCTGAGGTTACCTATCCCGACGAGAACTCTTTCATCTAGTTCAAGTGCTTCGTTGTGTTCTAGCCTTACTACCCGGATTGGTGTTTTCAGAGTTGGCATCAATAGCATAATATTATGGTGATTTTCTTTACTAACCGCAGTATATTGCCCTACATGCTTCTGGAGTCTCAATTCACCATATAATTCTCACTGTACGATATCTCATCAATCTGATTATATATGATATCATAGAGAGCAAAGCCACCAGCATTCAAACCTTAATTCGGCACAAATCTTTTCATAATCACATACCCGCAACCCTAATCTAGATTCCCCTCCCTATATAAGCCTTCCTCCAGTCCCCGTCTCTCCTTCCTCTCCCCACCATCTCTCCCCATCATCTTTCCAATAAGACGCCCTCCCTCCGCACCCTCTACCAACAGCTTCAAGCAACAAAAAATAC